TCAGGCGCGACTAAACATTCGCGAAATATACTCGGCGAGCAGTATGAGGGCTGACAAAATTTGAAACAATTCTGAACACGTAGCATTAATTACTGATTTTCAAAGAACTCTCTAGATATTTAAAATAAGATTCACAATAAGATAGAAACGGTACTCCACTAGCCCGCGAAATGTTTTTCTATTCAGAAACGATTTGTGAAGGCAAGTTGCAAACAAATAGTAGTAACAGTGAATTTAAAATATTTTTAAGGCATGGAAAATGCAGTTGGAACTTTTATGTGAAAAATGTGTAGTGAAGTGGATAAGGGCAGAAGGTCTTGTTAATTTCCGTTTTCGACAACGATACTTATTGAAGACAATATATCATTTCGATATATTATAAAAAATGAACATTTCAGAATAGATCATTTTGCAGCTGCTAAATTACGTAAACGATTTATACGAAACATACAACTGCAGATAAAAGTTTCAAGTTATGTTATATACGGATTATATATTATGACATGTTTCGTGTGAGATAGTTTTAAAAACGGGTCTACATTATAATATCGTTCAAACTTTAAATTTTATTGCAAATTATAAATACTAGATTACACAAAAAAGTTGATAATATTTTCCTTGTTAATTCCATATTTTATTCGTTCAGGAATATGTACCTATATCCACATGAGTACCAGTATTTATCGGCTTTATTATTGGTAAAGATTGGGTGAAAAGTATCGGGTTGGAGCATGACGGGTTGGGCTCTGCCATCTTACAAAGTCATAAAAGACCATCTAGAAATACTTTTAAAACTGAGATAAAACTGCTACGTGTTATTTCATTGTGGAGGTATACTTTTATTAAAAATTATAGCCTATGAAGTAAAACTTGAATACAATCAGGCATCCCCCTTCCAATTTTTCAGCATCTATTAATTTTAACTTCTCGTGAAACATCAAAACGAATAAAATCGTATCGCAGCATGAGGAGAGTTTAGTTTGCGTCATTCTACATAATTTGTAATACGGCACATTCGACCAAAACATTTTGAATATCTATCTTAATTTACCGATCACACTCGACTCGCAGTCGGTCATTTACAATAGCATCTCAAGGATGGGGAAATAGTATAACTAGGTGCGGATTTTGATGACATAAAACGTCGCCAAAAATGATCAATACTCATAAAAAACTCTAAAAATGTTCTTGAAATGCCCTGAGAGCAAAGAAAAAATACGTAAATTTTATTTAAAAAAAAATCAAATGCGTAACTCAAATTCTTAGATATGTTACTGAGAATCGCAGTGGCGGACTGAGGGGGAGGGCATGCCCCCTCATAAAAGGCCTCGAGAAAAAAAAATGAAAATGGTAAAAGTGCAGAAAAAATAAAAATGAAAAGCACAAGAAAAAATGTTGAAACGTCTAATATGTATCGATAAAAGTAAAAGCGCGTTCTATCCTTAGGCTTTCAGTTACGAATGGGAATTCTAATTCTCACTGTATTTTAGCCCAGTGATACGTGTGGAAAATGTCTTCGACTGTTCTCCAGGGGTGTGTCATAGGTCATAACCAGGGATCGGGTTCTTATGACCTAAAAATTCTTTGAAAAATTGCAAAATTGTTTAATAAAAATACGTAAAAACAAGAGGAAAATTATGTAAAAAAGTTAAAAATAAGGGGCAATTACATTTTTTACAACATACTCAAAAATTTGTATAAAAATATTTACTTATTCAATGAATTTTACAATTTTCAATACAATGTATTTACATAAAATTGTTTAATTAATAAAGTCTTCATTTTAAGAGGTAATGTAAGCACAGTTTGGAAAGTAGGTCAGGTACTTTTATGAACACTGTCTGTAAACATCCAAATATTCAATAACCTCAGAGAAAAGGTTAATATTTGGCAGAAAGTTAACTCACCTTAAAAGGTTACTTTGTAGCAAATATTATTTCGCTCTCAAATGCGCGGGAATTATGTGTGTTACAAAAGTAACATATCAAATCATATATATTATAGTAACCACCGACACCCGATTGCCTGATTCCTTCAGCGATTCAGCTTTGCCCGGCTGCTTCGTCGGCAGACTCCCTAGAGGGAGGCATGCGTGATTGCCTAACTACTAGAGAGAAAGACTTAGGCATTTTCATAATACTACTTTATTCACTTTTGAAATCGGTGCCGGTGAAGCCCAGTAACATGAATAAACTTAAAACTAACTTATAACTAATCTTAACTTAGAAAAGGCCGGTGTGGCCAGAGTTCATCTTAGCTCCGGTGTCGTCGCCCTCCCGGGCGGTCATGATCCAGCTCACAGGTTGTGTTATGTAAAATATAACATAACGCATATTTACAGTGTACAATTTTGTTTTGTCGTATAGTAAACATTTTCAAGAATGAAATACTCAGAAGCTTTGTTTTGCACTTTGACAAAGACGCAAGTTTGCATTTTGGAAGGGAACACCCGAATCGACTGGTTTCAATACATGGGCGGCAGTCCTTTGATTATGAACGGCCCTCGATTGGCTACGGAGGGTAAATGCTGTACAGAATTTGTGTGAGAGAATGCATTATACTCTAACACATTCATTTGGGTGACGTGGTCACATCCAATGCATTTTTGTTAGATCCATTAAACACACCACGAATCCGTCGTGTTCGATGTCAGTTACTCTTCCGTGTAAAAGCATGCCCTCGAATATTCTCACAAAGGCATCAACTATGAAAGCATTCGTACCCTGATTATTGAAGCTGTTGCTAGTATATATTTTTTGTTATGTGCTCTCCTTCAGAAATGTGGGAAATCGTGCATTATCGGATATTGCTGAATGGGTCGCGTTGCGTAGTGAAGTGTTTGTGAGAAAAGCCAACAGTAACAGGAAACAATACGAAAAATTAGAAATAAATTGTGTCAGGCAATGGTGTTTGTATATTTGTGTAATAATGGTAACTACTGAAACGTTACATGCCACATTTCAGTTGAGTTTTAATGAGATGATCATATGTAAATTTGTTTGATCAAATGATACATTTGTAAGTTCTGAAAGAGAAAATAAATAGTTTCATTTTAATTTTAAAAAGATAATATTTTTTCTGGGGACAGTAGGATTAAATTGGATCATATTACAAATGTTAATGTTACTCGTAATTTAACCTTTCTAGCAAATGCCCTTGACGTTTACATGTGCAAGTTAGAAAAGAGAACGAAATTATAAATTGTGAGGGAATTAGTGTCCATATTTATAGACAGACAAGTGTTGTAACAATAATTTATTACATAAATTGAATCTGCAGGAGTTTCGAGGGTTGTTGTTCTCATCATCAGGCTGTAAAGTTGAATGACAAAAATCTATAGTAAAAAGTTTAAAATTATTTTCAATAGAATAGAGAAATGGAGAAATCGTAACAGGTCAGAATTTACCAAACACACTAGGGCTCACAAAACAAAAAACAAATGTTTGTATAGTAACATTATGATGCAGTAAATTGTCACTAGGTGGACAAAGTTAAATTAGTTACGTTGGTGAGAGAGGTGGAATGACAAAATGAAGAGATCTGAGGGACAGGGGCAAATTAAGGCAAGGAAGGGGTGTGAAAGTGGAGGAGGGATGGGGGAACTATTTTGTTCTATGTTCGACATCGTATGCAGCAAAGCATCGTAAATTTTAGTAAAATAATTATTCTCAACAGCAGTATTAATATAATTATTTCATTTAATCAATAAAGTTTTAGAAACCAAAGTAGATATCACAGTCTCAATATCAAAGATTCTTGTATTTTGAAAATTGAATGAGTGGTTGAACTTTGTACAATAATTGAACACAGAGGGTTTTTATTTAGGAATTTCTCTGATATTTCGGTCATATTTTTTTTATTCTAGTTAGAACTTTACGACTAGTTTGGCCTAACTGTATTTGATCGCAATCGTTGCATTCAATGCCGTATTCGGTACGAAACCCTTCCGAATTAAGCTTGTGAAATAAATTATTGTTACAACAGTAGTCTGCCTATAAATATGGACCCTAATTACACATTCACAATATATAATTTCCAACAATGCAGACTAAATAGGGGGAAAGAAGAAGAGAAAGAAGTTGGTGTTCGAATGTTTTTTGTTGTCGGGAGGGGGCGGCTGTTTTTTCCGGACTTGTGGTTCTCGATAGATCGGAGTATGGAAATTACAGAATCATTTAAATTTATAATGGTAGAGTTGTAAAATGCGATGAAAGAAGAAATTGGTCACACTGTGGCAGTGAATATGTTTGAAGTCGCTACTTGCCAACTGTGCTCCTTGTACTAGGTATCCGTTCAAACGCGTGTGCTGTTTCGGTAGAGTTCAACAAAAACAATTAAAAAAAAATATCCAAAGAATATTGAATGTAGCCTGTAGCATGTCAACTAGTTGAGCGTGTGATTGATGCGAATATGTTTTTTAATAGTCATTCAATGCGGTTAAGCCATGGTAGCCACTCATAGCTACGAAAGGAGTAGACGTGGATGGTCGGTGAGATACTTATAAAGGTTTCAACTTCGCAGTCATAAGTTCTGCCAGATCGATATTAGAACATTTCCAGAATATCAATTTTGGATAAAATCTACTGAAGAATTTTGGCGCTCGCTTTGACTACGGACGGACGGACGGACAGAAGGACCAACGGAAAGTTCGACAGATAGGCAGACCGACCGCCAGACGAACCGCCGGACGATCTGACCGCCGGGCAGAGGAACCGATGGAGAGACGGACCGACGGCTTGTTCTTAGCGATGATTTCAATAAACAACCTCTGATAGAAATGAAATTCCCATAATAATACACTTATGGCATTGTTGGTAATTCCCAATCGCAGTATGGTTTCGTTCGAGAGGCACTTTTGTTTCTGGTCATTCGATTTTTTATTTTTTTTGCGCACTTTACAAATTAGCTTGTAAGTGGAGTTTGTGGAGAAGAATACACGAATAACGAAATACCTAATATTGTTTGGTTTTATTTCTATTCAAGTTTTGTCCCTGTACAGCGCCGTCACCGCCGCCGCCGCCGCCGCCGTCGTCGCTGCCGTCGCCGCCGCCGTCGTCGCTGCCGTCGTCGCTGCCGTCGTCGCTGCCGTCGCCGTCGCCGTCGCCGCCGTCGCCGTCGCCGCCGTCCCCGCCGTCGCCTTTCGTATATGAGAACTAAAGGAGGAAGGAGCTGAAGGAGCAACGCCGGAGCGTGCCACATCTGGGAGAAGTAAAATATTGTTTTCTTAAGTTTTATAATGAAGATCGGAACCAATTGCTAAATAGGGTCTGTTAATGTATTTTGTAAAAGTTAGGTTCCTTTTGGATGAAGATAATGGTAAGACGATTTACAGACAAGGTAATTGAAAGTTCAAAGAATTCTGTAAATCAACTGATCAATACAAAATTTACATATTTATTATCTGACACTGCGTATGCATTACTATATTGTATTGCACTTCTTTGCAAGTAGCTTGACAACCTGTAGCAGAAACGACTTAATGGACATTCTCGTACTAGTTAGTTTTCTAAGTTCTTTCCCCTGGGATAGCTTTTCTGACTTATCTCATCTTCTTGTCAGCTGCCATCTATCACCGCCCAAACTACATTTGTTTGAAATTTTATCAATTATCAATCGGATTCATAATGGTAGAACCGAAATATTGCATAAGAATATTATAGAAAAGTGAAACGTTGTCCCATACGAAAATTTTCTTTGTAAAATGTGAAGTCCTTTTAAGCGTTACTGTAAATGATAAATTTAAAGCTCTTTTTTACAGAAAATGTTTATGAGTTTTCAAAAATCTTCAGTTGAAGTTATTTCTAGTACTTCCACTCACAAACACATCAATGAACATTAATTGCTGGAAATGTGCATATTAACGGCGAGAGAGGTATTTAAAAAAATACATTTACGTAATTTTTGAGAAAACAAAATAAATCAGCAAAATAGCTTTTATGTCATATAAAACCCTGCATTTAGCACTGTTTATACAATACGTTTGATGAAAATTTGAAGCAGATTTTGAGCGAAAATTTACATTTTCAATATTCACAGAAAAATTCGAGAAACTTTAATAGATATCAGTTGAATCACATGTGCACATGTATGCAATAAGGTGAATATTCACGACGTTTTTGAGAAATTCTCGCTTTTTTGTTTTAATATTGCACATATTTCACGCAATATTGCGCGAAAACTACTAAAAGTTTCAAGGAAATACACTTGATTTTAACGAAAGAACTATTTCTGGAGAACAAATTTCATTTAAAGGAATAATCTTTATCTTTAATTTTGTAGTTGTAGGAAAACGCCGAAAAATTTTTATACTATCGCAACTTTCGAAAATTCATAGTTATCAGTGAAAATAGAACCTTTGACACCTTCATAATTATGTTTCATTCTAATCTTATAAGAAGTTAAAAGAAAACATTTGAAGGCATTTTTGAGAAAATGTTGAAAATCTCTCAGACGCTTATAGAAAGGACCCCCCTCCGTCAAATTAAAGAATTTTATTCAAAATATCTGAGCTTCAAGAGAGCAGGGATCGACCAGATCGACCAGGGAGTATTCTATTTGAAAAAGATCGTACGAATAGTTAAGGTGCTAGTGTTGACTAACAGACGAACAGTCAGACGGACAGACATACGAACAAACAGACGAACGGAGGGACAGACCGACTGTCAGGCAGACGGACTATTTGAAAAAAAAACTTTTTCAGGATCAGGGATGACCTCTTTTACATTCCCGTGGAAATCTCGCATGCGCGGTTCTTCAGCATAACTTTGAACATGTATTACTCGCATTTGGATATTTTTTGTATATGTATACGAAAAAAGTAACTAGTGATGCTACTACAGCACATACTTTCCCGCATTATATCTAACTGCTTCGCTCTTTTATACTGCTACATAAACTTGCAAAGAGTTTTTAACCAGCAAAAATGATATTTTCTTCACCGGGACTCGAACTGAGGTCCTCTGAGTTAACTCGCCGTCAGCCATACAAGCGCCGCGTGGTTTGAACCCGGGCCGCCGCTTGAAAATGAAATGGTCTCGACCCAATATTTTCGACATGCAATTTTTGCACTTTTCGAAAATCGGAGAGGTAGCAGAAATTAGGAGTAGAACAGTATTTTTACCGTCTGTTGTTGCAAACGAAGAGAAAATGTAATGAAAATATTTTGTACGGTTTTTGAGAAAATATTTTTTTTAGAAATTCCATAAATTTCGGAAATTAAACGAAATATTTATTCTGTTAAACAAAATGTACTTGTCGTTTTGTGGAGCTGGGATTTTAGAACAGATGTATTGAGTCACAAGTCGCTGTCCCCAATTTTGATGTTAACTTTTTCCATCCTGAACCACTTATCTGCAGCGTATCTTTTATACCGCGTATCGGTGTTGCTCACGGTTTTATTCTAGGATACTAAATTCAACAGTGACGGATTTTCGACTTAAAACGGTAGACCGAATTAATTAGCATCTGCACAAATATAGCGTCCGGATTCCCTGACGAATACTTTTAGGTTTTTTTTTTTTTTTTTTCAATCTATACCATGCGAATGTAAGAGACAAACAAGTCAAGAAAAAAACACGATCTTCTCTTCCTCATCCTTGCCCCACATCTTTACTTATGCCCACACTCGCTCAACATTTAATACACTACCACACATTTCGAGAGACTAGTCGGGAAGTGAGTTTGTCCCAGGTGCGGAGGGGCCACGGCGGGGTCAGAGAGGGGGGAAAACTGACGCGTATATCGGAGCCTCGCACAGGCTGCGCCAGGTAGCAAACACCGCCAGCGCCCAGGATTAACATGACGTCACAGCTTACGGAACCTACCATTTCAGTTAGTGGGCACGAATACGCTAATCATTCAAAAGAAGTATGTATGTATGTATGTATTTTACTTCTTAGGGTCGGATTAATAAGACTAGTGCCAGGTAGCGATGATCCAAAATCAGAGCCCTGCTTTTACTAATCATTCACGTCAGGGGGTAAGCAAGACTTTGGAGATCATAAGGATACCCTATACGGTACCTACACATATACATATCATACATGATTTTTTTCTTCCTCACAAAGGTACGGACACTGAGCAAAAATGTAATACAAAGATACAGATTATGTTAGCCGCAGAGGGAAATCATAGCCGGGCCCCTTTACTGAAATTAACCAAGAATCAATCAAAGGCAAAAGTATACATCCACAAAATTAAAACAAATTATATTAAATTGAAAAACCTTTTTTCTTTATTTTTACAAAAGAAAATTGCACTAGTTTTACGAAAACAACTCCTAAATAAATATGATAATCTCCGTATGCCCAGAAATCCAAAAAAAATTGTCTTGCAAAGCGAGAAGAGTGGAATACAACTTTGTAGTTAGTCGAATTGTCGGCCAAGATGGAGTAGAGCAACAGAAGAGGCAAGATTACCGTCACCAACAACTGCCCCTCTATCCCACCAAGTAGGAAGAGGAGGGTTGCAACTACTATACTTGTTCGAGTGTAGTAGTTGGACGTGTCATTGAGTAGAGCTATACAGACAACATCATCCAAAGAATTGCTGATAAGATACTCCACACCATCCCGGAGGGATGGGTAATGAATGAATGTACTTCGTCTCGTCGATTTTAGTACAATGGAAACGAAAAAGTAAATTTCGTCGCTTCTTTCTGAAATTACGTATGTAGGTAGAACACTTGACGAGAAATTGCATAGAGCCAACTAGACCTCAATCCGATCACTATTTTCGTAAATACACGTGAAAGAAGTTTGCGCAAAAGAAATTTACACCTATTTTAAAAAAATTCGAGCGATTTCAGAAAGAAGCAAAAAAATTGACTTTTCCCAAATTTTACACCTAATTTAACAAAATTCGCGCAAATTTCTTTCTCGTGTATTCCCGAAAGTAATAGTCAGATTGAGGTTTAGTTTAGTTTTCTTTATGCGATTTCCCGTCGAGTTTTCTGCCTACTCGCGTGATTTCAGAAAGAGGCAACAATATTGAATTTTTCCCAAAAATTACGCCTAATTTATCAAAATTCGCGCAAACCTCTTTCACGTGTATATCCGAAAGCAATTGTCGGATTCAGGTCTAGTTTGCTCTATGCAACTTCTCGTCAAGTGTTCTACCTGCATAAGTGATATAAGAAAGAAGCGACGAAAAGGGCTTTTTCTCAAATTTTATACCTAATTTAACAAAACTCGCGCAAACTTCTTTCACGTGTATTCCCGAAAGTAATAGTCGGATTGACGTCAGGTTTGCTCCATTGCATTTCTGTTAGAGAGTTGTACTCACATACGTAATTTCGGAGAGAGCTACGAAATTTACTTTTTTCCATTTTTTTCACGAAATATCTTAATTTAGGGTCAATTTTGTTTCACAGGCATTTCCGAAACTAATAATCGGAATTAAGTCTGGTTTTCATTATTGAATTTCTCGTACAGAGTTCTACTCACATATGTAATTTCAGTGAAAAGCTACAAAATTTATTTTTTTTTATTATTTTCACGAAATATCTGAATTTAGGATCAATTTTGTTTCACATGTATTTCCGAAACCAATAGTCAGAATGAAGTCAGGTTTTCATTTTTGAATTTCTCGTACAGATTTGTAATCACATACGTATATTCAGAGAGAAGCTACGAAATTGATTTTTTCCATTTTTTCACTAAAAATCTGAATTTAGAATCAATTTTGTTTCACGTGTATTTCAGAAATTATTAGTCGGAATGAAGTCTGGTTTGCTTTATTGAATTTCTCGTACAGAGTTCTACTCACATTCGTAATTTTAGAGAAAAGCTACGAAATTCACTTTTTTCCATTTTTTCACGAAATATCTGAATTAAAGATCGATTTTGTTTCATGTGTATTTCCGAAACTAATAGTCAGAATGAAGTCTGGTTTTCATAAGTAAAGTTCCCGTACAATGTTGTACCAACATATGTTATTTTAGACAAAAGCTACGAAATTTATTTTTTCCATTTTTTTCACGAAAAATCTGAATTTAGGATCAATTTTTTTTCAGAGGTATTTCCGAAACTATTTGTCGGAATGAAGTCTTGTTTTCAGTATTGAATTTCTCGTACAGAGTTGTACAAACATATGTAATTTCAGAGAAAAACTACAAAACATAATTTTTTCCATTTCTTCACGAA